TGAACGCATAATAATATTGTAAAAAAATCAAAATAATTATAAAAAACAATAGTTATACAGTTTATTATTATTTTTTTTTTTAATTAGTGATTATGAAAATGTACATACCTAATTGAAATTCGGTAAACCGGACACCATAAATATTGTAAACATCGTAAATGCGCAAAATGTATAATAAATATTATGACAACGCGAGTATTAATATTTAACGTTTTCTCGTAGCTATCACTCGATAAGAACCAAACAAATTTCAAAGAAAAAAATCGAATCACAAAAATCCAATATCGATACGATAAAAATCCGGACGGTTATAATGATAATAATGAAAAAAATATACAATATAATAACGCGATGTCTGGCCTACCGGAAAAAAATTGCTGGACTGCGAACGATCGACTCATGGCGGTGACGCGTGTCCCGCGTTGCGGCGACAGTTGCAGTAGTTGTAGTCGCGATGCGGCAACAAAATGTAATAATAATAACAATAACAATAATGTTTGTGCGAAATATAATAAGAACACTGCGGTACGTACTGCACTCGTTATCCTACAGCTGAAATTCTTCGACGCGTACGACACTACGACGACGGTGTATAGCACTCGCGATTTATTTTGGCGCATCGTTCATGGTGCGTACGAGTAAAATAATCATTACCGCGGTTCAGAAGCGAGAATAAATTAGGGTGCTATATTATATAATATATTATAGTACCTGTTATAAGTACGGTCGAAAAGCGAGGAAAGCAAAAAAAAAAAAAAAAAGAGGCGATATATTTATCGCACGCGATATTATCGGTGGAAATGCGGCGAATTGACGTTCGTTTCGGACGTGTCGCCGACAACTACCGCGGCGAATTCGGCCATAATAATAATAATAAATATTATTTCATATTACACACGCGACTCTACTACTTCTTGGCGATTTATGCGGCGCTCTAATAAAACTAGCGGCGATAAGGTTTCCGTTCTCGGCGCGCGTTCCGGCGGTTCGCGAGGAAGAACCGTGCCGGGAGTCCGTGTGTGTGCACACACACCGATGATGATCGTGATCGTCGGATTGGTCGCCGCACATTATTATAGGTGGGAGCCGCTGATATCTAGGGTTCTGGGTCAAGGGCGGCGACTGCACGCGCAAACGTTGCTGTGTGTGTATATATATATGTGTGTGTGTGTGTGTGTGTGTGTGTGTGTAGTGCCAGGCCGAAGCATCCGTACCGCCACCACGACGAATAAGTATTACTATTATAAATAGTCGCGAGAGCTGATTACGCGGCGCACGCGTTAATGCCCATTGTTATTGGCGAATTTTATTATATTTTAATAACATGATGCCGTTACGCGGCAGACCATTTACCTTCCAGTCGAAAATCTACGTGCAAACAGGAAAAACGATAAACGCGCGCGATACATTAATAAGCGGATAGTATCGTCAATCGGTATCGGTCGTAACCCGGGTGTCGGTATCCGTATGGATTCGTCGCGCGTTTTCGCGCGTACACGATTCGTATGCGGCGCGGTTGTTCACACGCGCAAAATATTCCGGCCGAATAGACGTGGATCGATACAGGAGGTTTAGTTTTTGGCGAAACGCGGGTTGATCGGAACACTCGTTTTGAGCGCGTAAATAATATGTCAAAGTTCATTGAAAAAAAAATAAAAATAATTAGAATTCTAATCCAGCGTGAAAAATAAGACGTTTCCATTATCTGAGCAAATGTAACTTTGTCTATGCATTTTAATTTCGAAAATAATCATCAAATGTGTGTTTTGGGATTCCCGATCTTTCTAATGGTACGACATTTCAATCGTAAGTCCATCCGGCTAAAATATTTTGTGTTACTACGGTTCGAGTGAAACACTGTATAATAATTTTTATATTGAACAATTCAAAATGTAATCAGATAAAAAGAAAACGGTGATATACGATAAAAAATAATGGTGATTTATTGTATATTACTATGAGCGACGATAATATATTAATCACAATAAATAAAAAAATAACGTAACTTTCAACGACGCTCATCGTACTTTGTGACCCGCACTACTCCTAAATCTTGCAGTCGAGTACATTCAAAATTGGTTATTTTAAGTAAAATAACCACGTGTAGGGAATTTCGAAAAATATTTCAAATAAAGTATTGGTATCTTAAAATTATCTAAATCTAAACAGGTAGTATTAATTTTAAAATAGGAAGGTACCAGCTATATACTATAATATATATCATGAGCCATGACAATAGAAATTATCTACTTTATACTTTAATGAATGATATTATATTACAAAAACTTTATTATTTAACAAAATAAATAATATAAAAATTTTAAATTAAAACAATGAATCCAACGAAAAATTAAATCAAATTTAATGATGAAACAGAAAACCCCAAATCGTATAAAATGTGTGCGAAGTATCTTTCGTCAGACTATTAATATTATTATGTTAATAACAACGTAAAAAAGCAATTAATAAAATAAACTAAATATAACTGTCAAACAAATTATTAAAATTTAGGGGACGTGTACTAACGGATTCTCAGTGTAATTTGACCATTTCGTATAAGGATAGGAATAACGGAGATAATAAAATAAGCCGCACTCCACCCAATCAGTAAAATCTTCAACCGGTTGAAATCCCACAGACGACGAAGGAATATATATATATGTATATATTATGTATGCATAAATAAAAATAAAAATAATTAAATATAATGTCGGCAAAACCAACAATTTAATAAATCTAAAATCTCAAATCTTCTTAAATGATAATAAAATTTGATAATACATGCAATACTGCGATAATAATTATTAGTGATGTAAAATTGTACACTTAATAATCTTTAAACCGTTAGAGACGTAAATTGAAATATTATCAATTATATTATTTTTAAATAAAATGAATAAATATATAAATAAAAATTTATACATAAAAATAAAATAAATAAATGATAAAATGCGCCGTCTGGAGTATTACAATAAGTGTGTTATATGACTGATTTCGAATTAAAAATTCATCAGGTTATCACAGTCAAAATGTAAAACGAAACTACGCGAGTATTAACCATTTTAATAATTTTGTTTCTATTTTATTATATATTATTTTTATCGATTAAAATCATAAATTTTTATTATATATTTGGATTAACGATTATTACTTATATACAAGCATACAGACAAATCATAAGGAAAAAATATTACATTTAATATTGTCAGGGACATGCAACTGAAATATCTATAATATTATTATTTATTTGATAATGAAATAATGTTATAACCGATTATCTATATTATATATACGATTTATTTGTATTTATCATTTCATTTTATTTACCAATGTAATAATTATTTTGACATTTTTTCTTACGATAAACACGTCGGTGATTAACACATCGTAATTATCACATTATCTCGAAAATTGTAAACTTATTTTGAGAAGTAACTTCAACAAATTATACTCGGTTATTTCCACTTTTATGTTTGTCATTTTGTTGGTAGGGGGAGAGTAGCGGCGCACGGCGTATGAATAGTAGTGTTCCACTACTTTCCACCACCCACAAAACGCGATAAACTTTAAAGTGGAATTCTCATCAGCGGGTTAATGGAAATTAAAAATGTCAACATCAAAATGTCTTTAAACTAAAAAAATATTCATCTATATAATTTTTTACAAGTTGCTTTTTAAAAAGCTAAAGTGGATGTGGTTTTACCGTCTAAAATAAGGTAATACTTTCTGAGATGATTAATGTCTTACGTTATGTTGATCACTCTGTATGTACAAAACGAATAGTTTATTGTTTATTATTTGCCCTTAATGAACTATAAGAAAATGTTTATTACTTTCAAAACATAAGGAGAGGATGTGTTTTATTTTTAATGGTATTTTTCAATGATGTTGACATTTTTTGTTTAACTGTTAACGTACCATACGTAGGTATGGAAAACCCAAGGAGACGTGCACCCCTTGCCCCCCCTCCATGGATGCCCATTCATAAAAAAGATTACAAGTTAAAACCAAATTAAATACGTAGGTACATAATATACGAGTATAATGCATCCTTGAAATTACCGGAAATAATCGATGAATTTAAATTTTTTTATGGGTATGTATGTACGTACTACACAGATACATTATAATTTATTCGCAAAGGTCGATCAAAATCTTTTTATATATTATTTAATTATTACAATGACGAAACTTATTAAACACATTTTAAGTTATATTTGAAAAACTGAATAAAATATTATAATTATTTAAATTTTAACTAATATATTGCATCGAGTAAATCATTAAACAAGAATCGGCTGAGTGCACAAATAGCAATAAGCATTACATAGGTAACCGTTTTATTACATCAAAAAACTTAATTTATAAATACAATTAATTAGCATAGTACTGACAAAATGCTGGCTGGTAAATTATAAAGGTTTAAAATTATTTATAGTAAATACATATACATTCTTAATAGGCACTTATATCAAAAGTATTTTAAATATTATTTAAATTTATACAGTTTATTTGAAAATTAAATAAAAAATTGATTATTTTATAAAATAACTAGAGATTTTTTTTGTTTTTAAATATAACTTTAAAAACATGTGTATTATATTCGTCATAATCGCCTTTGGGCACGCACATCGGAAGTAAATTGACCTTGTTGAATACACAAAACCCGTTATTAGGAAGGTGATCGGATACATATTACATACGATCCAATCATTTCCCCAATTTATCATATAGTATATAAAATTTACAAGATGAGGAAAGGGTTAGTGTAAACATTTGCATGTGATCAATTATAAATTAGCAGGTTTATTTTCTTATGTCCTATTTATAAATTACAAAATATTTCTACAATTATTTAATTTACTTATGCATTCCAAAAAAAAAAAAAATATTAAAATTATTTGGGGCTATAAAATTTTAAAACTAATTAAATACTTCCAATTTTTCTCCATTCTTTTTTTTGGTTGATTCTAACTTTTAATTATATAAATATTATAATAAAAATGTATTCTCAAAAAGGCTTAACAACGAATTCAAATTTGTTTTCAAATCCTTATTGTATCAATGTAAAACTATCGGTAACATCAGAAATAGAATAGGACTAAAGTGCGATAGAGATTATACAAATTACCACTTTCAAAATTTTACAATCTTTCTTTTTTTTTTTTTTTTTACAATTTCCAGTAAAGAATTAAACATCAATTTCCAACATATCCTAAATTAAGAAATTAAAGAATCATAATCCGTTTTTAAAATTGGAATCCATCAAACATAATTCCTACAGTTTTATCTTACTCTTAGGTATAAATCGACTAAAACATACACAGTCACTCTAATCCTCTTAACAAATTTCAAATCGTATTCATCACTCCAACATATTTACTTACAACCTAATGTACTTAATTAACTAATTTCAAGTAGGATACATTTTTAAACAAATCATGTTTTTGTTTTTTTAATTATTATGGTCATTATTTATTATACGATCTACAGACTTCCCAATTATATTATATTTAAAGAAAAAACCAATTTTTTTAATAACAGTTTTAAATAAAGACATTTTAATATTATATAAACGTTAGTCGTAGTATTTGTATTGTATAAGTATCATACAAGTTAATGTTAATTGTTATATTGAATTACTAAAATTTTGGGTTTTTTCGTCTCGATTCAAAGATATTTATTTATATTTACAACACCCTTTGACAGATAAATGGTAAGGAATAAATATATATATATATATATATATATTTAACCACTATATTTAACTTTTGTTTTTCATTTACTCAATTTTATAATTATACGACATATTTTCACATATTAGCCAATAAAAATTCAAAACATTCATATTCAACGGAGTGCATAGACACCAGTAATACATAACAGTAGTTAACGTATATATTTAAAATAAATACAACTTTAAACAATATTTACGAGTAAAAAACCTACATAAAAATAAACCTACCTAAATAAACACTATAATATAGATATAGATAACACAGGGAATTTATAATATATAAAAGATAGTCAATTTATTTGTAAGTAAATGACTAAAATAATACGATAGCAAGAACTGCACCTAGTACAATATATAGGTTTAGTGTACTGGCATTAAATGCCAGTACACTTACTGATAGCACACTATAAAGGTAAATATAAGATAAATCAATATCTTGTGAATGCGATACAAATGTAATATTTAATAGTATACTAAAAAAAAAATATATTAATTTCTCCGACAAGTCGTAGTTTCACGAAACACAAAAATATTTTTTATATGGATATCTATAATATTACTATCTACAATCAAAATATTGATAACATTTTAATTTTAATTAAAGAGCTAAAAAACCAACAAACTTTGAGCTTGATCTATAGCACAAAAAAAATTCAACAGATTACAAAAGTCGAAACCTAAATGTAGAAAATTTGAAGAAAGATTATCATTTGCAAAAGAAAGGTATAGCATTTATAAATTTAAACAATGTATAATGCATTTGTTTCTAATAACGTTTGAAATTACAATTTTAAGCTACAAATGTTACGATTCGTATTATAGAATACTTGGACGCGATAATGTTCCATTTTCATTTAGAACAGAACCTTGTAAGGTTAGGTATTTTTTTTTTGTATAGATGATAGTTGACTTGAAAAATATTCGTGATTTATACAAATAAAATTTTAATCGATAAAAAAATTATATTTTTAACTTGAAGTATAATTAATTTTGAACTCAATAATGTTATCGGGTGTAGGCGAATCGGTACGACACGAGTTATTTAATTCGATGCTCGTGAGAAATATTATATACTTTGTATTGTGATAAAGATGACTGTTAAATCTGCCTATTTACCATTGTTAGTAAGCATGTGATTCTTAATAATATTACATAGATAAAACAGTTGTATAAATAAAAAAAATAGTTAAAACTGCTAATGGATGAACTACTGTTGTAAGGATGAATTCGGGATACATAAAGGTAAGATATGGATAGGTATATGAATTTATTTAATTTGTATTTGTACAAAACTCGAAATAATTTCTAATACGATTCTAAACGATGTTCAATTAAACATATTATTTGTTTTGAAATACCGTGATTTATACAATTTTCGTTAAAATCTGAACTTAAAAAGGCTTATAAAAAAAAATTACTACATCACGCTCAACTTATTTTCACCACTAAATACAACTTATAATAACCTCGTGTAAAATATTTAAGCATGTCTCATTGTCGAAAATAAGTTTATCTACATAAAACGTGATTTTGAAAATCATGGTCTTTACACAAAGTAATAATAAAAAATAGGATTCTATTGATATGATGAAATCCCATTATTCATACGCACATAATATCAAAAATAAATAAATAATATTATTTATTGAAATGAAAAAAGAAGGTTTATTAAGTTATATTATTTCTAATAAAAATAGCTAGTACATGATTTGGCCCCTTATCTTATCATTGGTTTATGAGGATAAAAATATAAGATGTACATTGAGTATGGTTAGTGGAAAGTTTTTACTATATTACTCAAGGTTATAAAAACGATTCTGGATTAAGTCTTACAAATTCTAACAAATAATTATGTAATTTTGTTCAATACCTATGAATGAACTGTTAACTCGGAATTAACTGAAAAAAAAAAAATGTATTATCTTAGAAAAATTATTTGTTAACATTTTTTATTAGTTAAAGAAATGATATACAAAAATTAACTTTTTAAAGTGGTGAGAATAATGCTAATTCCGCAGCTGCATTACACCGTTTTAATTTATAACATTTTATTGTTTCTTTAAATAATACAATTTTAATAGAAGTATGGTCTTTTGAGAAACATGGAGATTAATTATTAAGGAAATTGTTTCTAACTATTTCGAACAAATAGCATATACGATATACTTATAGTATTACACAATCTCTCTTGTACGTGGAAGTTCGTGTGCCAAAGAAACCTTATTATGCATAGTTTACCTATAATTTATGTGCAACTGCCCCTCGCCATTTTAATGTGACTGTTTAAATGTTTAAAAACATAACACTATGGAAAATGACTGGTTCATAATATAGTTAATATCAATGTATAACTGCTAAAATAATAATTGTTCTAACATATCATGCTCGTATATAGACTTTTTCTAGTGTACCCAGTAGTAAATTCTATTATGTTTTATCGATATTAAAATATATCGTTAACTTTGACTGTAAACAAATCACACATAGGATCAAAAAATTAAATGGCCTCTATAGTTAAATTATAATATATATATAATCTTCGGACAGGTCATTTCGTAATTAATAATTTGTAATGCTTCGGTTTTGATTTAATCTACATATATTCATTATCAATATAAATTTAATGTAAATAGAAATAAATACTTTTTATTTCTCAAAAGCGTATGTGAAACTAAAGAAGATAGATTATTATTGTATAATTTAAATTATCTGGTATAACAGACTACTATTTTTGATAATTATATTTACCAAGCCATTATTATTCTATATAATTTAATACAAAAATATTTTTAATATCATATTAGAAAAAATTAGGTAAATGGAGTCAGATTTAAATCTTCATTGCATAAGTATAGGTATAATATTATTACGTTTAAAAATTTGTTCTCACATTTTCAAGACATCAAAAGTATCTTTTTTAAAAAATACCAACCTACCTTTTGATGTTACACAGTTGCTGCAAGAAACTTTTTCAGTACCTTTATACTTACAAATTATTACTGTCCAAAAGTTCCATAACCAGAAAAAAACTAATTTAGACTTTTAGTTGCTTTTTTAGAGTCAAATTTAAAATATTTTTTACGTTAAAATTTTGATTCATTCAATTTTCTTAATCAAGGCCATATTTAAAAAAAGAAACAATCTGTAAGATTAAAATAGGTATATAGATATAATAGGTATACATGGGCAATAGTCATATACACCTCACCACATTTAACAAACAAATTCTTATCATAGTATGCATACAGTTGTAATTATAGCAATTAATTAACATAAATTTGTTCGGGGTACCTCATGTTTTGTATGTTAGGAATGCTGGTGATTATTGTTTTTTTAAATAGGTAATGAACGAATTTTAAAAATAATTAAAGTGACTAATTTTTTTTTTTTTTTTTTTAAGATAATTGGTATTGGTTTTTCAAATTTTCTTAACTTTTTCAAATTCTAAAAAATTGTAAATTTCAGTGAACTTAATTATACAACTTTTCCATTAATATACTGCTCGATATCTATTTATGGGAAAAAGGTACGGCTGAAAAGGTTTTTTTTGTCTGCATAATATTTTGTCAACTATACGGACTATCCTAAGTATTGAAAAAAGTTTTAACGAAACTTGAATAAGTCATGATGTAAATATAAAATACTTAAAATCGACTTTTTTACATTTTTGTTTTGTTCAAAACTATTCACATTTTAAAATTCTATACAAATTTTTGAAGGCTTCAAGAGTTTAATTACAAAAAAGTGATATTAGTTTTAAAGTAAAATTCATAAAGAATTCAAGAATATTTTCAGAAGTTAACTCTATTATTACTACGACTATTAATAGTAATATTATTAAACCTATATAGGTTTATATTAAAAAAAAAAACAACCACTATTGAATCCCCTTAATTAGCGAAAAGTAATGGCATTTTTCCAAAATTTACGACAAGTTATTAGTATTTTCATAAATTTTACTGTTTACATTTTACATTCCAAAAAAATATTTTCTTGAAAATACAGTTCAAATTTCAGTTTATTGCTTATTTTCAACTAACCTATTATTCCGTATGATTCGAAGTTAGGTTATTAGTATTTTGGATTCTAAGCTGAGCGAAGGTTTTACAAAGATGTTTTTGTTTTTTTTTCGGTGTACAATTTTTCTACCAGAATTTTGTTCTGATATTTAAATGTGGTAACTTTTCTGAAAAGGAATTTTATCTGGATGATACTTTAAGAAGATCATTTTTTGATTTTTCATACGGTTTTTATAACAATTGGGAAATTACGAAATGTATTATTTTCAATTTTGTGTTTTGTTGTGATTCACTTAAAAATATTCGTAGAGACTTGAAATTTGGACACAAAACTTATATTTGCCTTTTCTTTTTAAACATGATAAAATTCAAAACATTCGGGCCATTTTTAAGCTATTTATAGAAATTTACCTGGGTTAGTTTTTTTAAGTAAATCTTATTTGGTTGTTACCTACTCTGGATACATTTGTTAAACCAAATATAAATGCTTAAAAACTTAACAGGAAGTTTATTATAGGTTGTACTTGATGGACAAAACAAAAAAAAAAATGGAGTGCAGTATAAAATTGTCTTTAATAAGAATTTTAGTATTAAAAGTTAAGGAAAATCGTAAATATTACGGCCTTTCAATACATGTATAACAAAAATCCGCTCAATATCTTTAACAAAGATTATTCGGTACACATTTATTTCCTCACAAAAAAAATGTATATGTATACTTTATTTACCTTACGCAAACTTAACAGTTTTTTTTTAGGTTACCAAATATCTACTCAATATTAATTATACATACTTGTTTACACAATACAAGAAGTATTTTAATAATATTCTATACAATAGTTGCTAAATATATAAATATATTATCTATCTATATAGGTTTTAGTTATCAGTTGTTGTAAGAACATTAAATCATATAACAGTATAATGTTTTTTATTACTATACAATTGGTAGCTGCATCCAAACTAAATATTTACATACCTAATATAGAATTTATGCATAACAATTAAGTTACGTATAAGTAACTCGTTTTTATGTTTTGCGAAACACAGAATAAAATTCAAAATATAGAATTATGAATTAAAATACTGCATGTATTGTAAAAATGTGAGGGTATCTAAACAAAACAATAATTGATGAAATGCTTAGAACAAATAAATATATATTATATGTATACATAGGTAGGTAAGGTACAGTTCTTCTCGATAATACATCACTGAGGACAAAAGAAACTACATACACGACAGTGCAAATGAGAAGTACTAAAAAAGAGAACCTTGAGGACCAAGGTGAGCGTGAATGGATAACTATTAAATTCCATAATATTTTATATCAGATATTTTATAAGTATTATAATCGCGTAAAATCTAGTTATACATATGAACGTGTTCGTGTGCGGAAATAACTGATTTCGGGTTTTATTATAAAAAAAAACAAATTTGAGACCTATTTAATTCTCTCTAATAAAAATATTATATCTTTTATTTGCACATCGATAAATGGCTTATAAAAAAAAAATGTTAAAGTGTACTACGACAATACCCATTGTAAATATTTAATGTCGATAGTGAATTCGTATTAGATAGGTAATTTAAATTAAAAGAACAATGACAGAGAAAAATGGAAAGAAGTTTGTTTTGCAGCAATGACCTCTGTTAAAGTTGTATAACAAGATAAGAATAAAATATTATTTTTAATATTAATGCAATAGCATTATTAAATAGAATTTACATTGATTCATTCAAATTAGAATTTTTTTTTAGAAATAGTTTAAATAAAAAAAGTTGTTTAGAAAAATAAAAATCCATAACATTTTATGGTTTCAATGACAGCAACGCGTTGGTTCGTATGTTTCACTATATAATAATTGCATATCAAACAAAATGGGAAAAAAAAATATTTGTTATTCGAGCATATTAAATAAATGATTTAACTTCATGATGGTACATGTTGATCGATGCACCGAAGTATACTATTGATTATGACGTCAAAAACCAATTTTATGATAACGATCAAATGCGAGGTATAATATTGCGTGATGTGTAATATTAAAAAATACTTTATTGTTGTCTATAGATTATGAATGTTTTGTCGGAAAATTGCACATACATTTATACACAAAAAAAAAAAACTACGGGAAATTAAATAATATAATGAATTACATAAGAACTAGGGAGCTGTCATTTATATCGGCAAAAATTTACAAAATACACAAAATGGAACATTGATTTTATACGCTTCAACGATTCGGATAAAAACAGTTTGAATGCGAGAAGGTAGTTGTGTGTGTGTGTGTGTTTATATTATATAGTAGATATTCGGTGAAGGTATATGCGAGAAGGTAGTTGTGTGTGTGTGTGTTTATATTATATAGTAGATATTCGGTGTAAAATTAACACGAGAACAAGAAAAAAATCGTCCAAAATTATTTACACAAGAACACTCAAACTAGATTAAAAAAAAAACTAATAATATTCACTCTAAACGTGCTCCTGGAAGGTAAGTATAATAATATAATTCATAATTATAATATATATTATCTCATATTGTAATAACAATATACATTCACATAAATATACCGCAGGCGTAAAATCTGTTTGGACTGTTCTCGAATACACACACACACACACACACATTTACTTACAAACCAAGCATAGCGTATATGGGATCATTCATATTGTTTAAGGTTGGTGACTCGTGAAGTCTACAAAAATAATATACAATGGCCCATACCTACTTACTGCACAACGTAAAAATATAAAACTCCGTACGGGGGGTACAACGCAATCTCGACGCGAACACACAAACAATATAATAATAATGTGTACGGAGACCGAATGGCAATATTACGCGAGGTATCAATGTGGGTTTCTGGTAAACGCTATGTGTCGAACACGCGTTTTTACAGTTTATATTATACATATATATATATATATATATATATATGTATTAATTTTTTTTTTCTAATTTTCGCGTACCTCTCGTGTGGCGTTGAGTTATTGCAGCGACCGACTGCAACAGCGGGACCAAAAGACGATAATAATACCCATGGTTCGCGGTTTCAAGCAGCATTCGTGTTTTCTGCGCGCGTGCTTGACGATCAAAACGACAATAATAATAATAATAATAATTATAATAATATTATTATCCGGTACGAACGTGCAAATACATTATAAAATTATAAAATACAAGCGACACGGCAACGGCGGCGGATTATAATATGTTATTATTATTATTATTATTACGCGTGAACGAACGGAAAAAATAAAAAAAAAAAAACCGCGGATATATTTACGACGTTTTTTTTCTACGCCGATAATACGATATAGGTACTTACGTTAATATTATTATCATCATTATTGTTACTATTATTATATAAAAACGGTTATATTATTATACTGCAATAAAGACGAAAACGAGACGACGACGGATCGCAATGTCCCCGCGGACCAAATTTATTACGTACGAAAAACGCAACGTACACACGGACGGCGGCTACAGCGGCGGCGTAATCAACCGGCTGTCGGCATTACTCTGCGTGCGAGTCCGCGCGCGATTTTCCCCGGGCGTGCGGTCGGTCGGTCGGTCGTGCGGCGACACGGTCTCGCTCGCGCCGTAGAGGTATACAGGTGGTGGTACATAACGTAAAATATTATTATTATTATAGTTTACGCGTATTATTATTGTTGTTATCAACAACGTGTGGCGGCGGCGACTTCGTCTCTTCCTGGTGAGGGATAATAATATTAAATTATATTATTATTATTATTATTATTAAACATAGATATATAACATTAATATTGTATACGTATATTTATATATAGACGTGCCGCCGCGTAGGTGATCCATATTGGTTAGCGGTCACGCGGCATTCAAATGGCCCGGTATTACCGGTTTTTGTCTCAACGACCGCCGATAACGTGTGTACGTGTGTAAAACGAGAAAAAAAATATACGTAATAGTCGGCTGCAGCAGGTGTATATGAATGTTCAACGATTTTTCGTACATAACAAACTAAAACCGTAAATGCGCGACATTTTTCCCGCCGTCTAAAATATCGTTCGATGATAATAATAATATGAAATTCGCCTTTACCCGGACACTTTGTAACGCGTTCGTAATTTAAAAAGGAATCTTCTTCCGGTTATCTCTCTCTCTCTCTCTCTCTTTACGTAATTCCGTAGAAAAAAAAAACAAAAAACTACACAGTCGCGATATTATATGAATATAGTGAGGGTCAACAGCTGCTGTTCCGAGTTCAGTGGAATATTAGTCATCGGAATTTATAAACGGAGGTACGAACGACGTAATTGACATTTTCACAATCGACTTGTTTTTGTATAATATAATACACTCCTGACAGTTTGTGAAACTATACTGAAAGCATTTTTTTTTACATTTTTGTAATTTTTAAACAAATTGGGGTAGGAGACCCGCGGACTTTGCCAGTGAGACAGGGTATGGAATACAGACAAAAATATATAATTTGGAAACAATATTTAAACTATATGTAAAGTTAAAATGTATTTCGAACTCACACAACTAAAATATTATGTGAAATAATATGTGTCAATTTTATATTATGATTCAAAATGTCCAAAATGTTTTCTTACAAATTTTAAAGCTTAAATATTTGTATAACAATTTATTTATCTATCTATTTATTTAAACATTTCAAACTTATTACTCATATAGTCGTACACATTAATATCAGTATTCAAACATACATAAAATTTAATAATAATATTAAACCTGTCATCCTAAAATAACCAAATTTTAACTTGTCTACTTGTGTTCTAATGAATAATAATTCTGAAAAGTCAATGTTACGATTTTGTTATCTGGATTATAATATATGTACTGTTAATCTAGATACTGATTATAGACAACAAGTTAACAACAACCAGTTTTATATCTAAAAATTTACAGATTTAAGAACAATATATTTATTATTGATAGGTATAGATTTTGTTTATGATTCCAACACTAAAATATATGTCATACCATGGATTGGCCATTATTGTAGATAGAAAGTCAGAAAGATATATCTAGAATATAATATCGTTTACACCTATAGGGTTTATACACCTGTTGTATGTAATTACGATAAAATATTGCGGACGAAAAACGATTCTAAGCCAAGTTTAATTAAACATATATTTGATAACTAAAAAGATTAAACTAATTCGAAAATTAAAAAAATTTATAAAATATCAACGATTTAAAAATTATGTCACCACTTAAAAATGGTAATGAGTATTTGGTGAAATGTCAACTCACTGAAACTAAATTTTAATGAATTCAAAGAAAAAAACAAAATCGAAATAAACAGTAATTGCATAAATATTCCCATTTTCACATTTTCTCAATTTTTTAAAAAAAACTAAAAAGTGAAAAAAATTACCTCCCCAGTGTAGCAAATAGACAAAATGTGTTAGGTACTGAAAATCATTCCACATTGGGGAAATATTTCTGGTTAAAAAGTTGTTTACAGATACAATTTTATTTTTAAGAATCTAAAACGCAATGAATTAAAATATAATATTGTTCTGACGGACAAAAAAAAAAACTAATTATTATTACTAATTTATGACTTTTACGGTTTTAGATAATTTAAATACGTACCAGGATGAGATAAAAGGATATAGTAAAGAAATTTGGAACCATAGTTATATAACAGAGAAATCCTAGCGGCCGATTACCTATGAAGAAGAAATACGACTTGAATCATTACTCAATTTATTGTTGTTACTAATATTCAAAACTTATAATAGTGATTACTTATCTAAAACATATAGTAATTTAGTTTTCCACACGTTTTATTTTTAATCAATATTTTGTTATAAAGAAATAATAGCTTTAATATTATTATACTGATCAAAAAATAGTAAAGAATATTCTAAAACGTTTTCTTTCGTCTGACAATAATATGATATTATAATTAACTTGTTATTAAAACAAGATAAAACCTCGGATATAAAACATAATAACAAAGTTAATAATCAACAAAATAATAATAAATATACTACTATGACGTACATTCAATGCATAAAAAAAATAAATACAAATGATTTAATGATAAAAAAAAAAAAAAAAAAACGAGTAAGAATTAATAATAATATTAAGTATTACACTTCTGGAAATAGCAGTCAAACATAAATACTTTTCATCATGTTAAGAATCTAAATCCTAAATTGTATTTTGCATATATTTACATATTTTATAAGCTTTTCTTTTTAAAGCATATTTTAGTAGTGTGTAGCTCTAAGTGCTATTTTTATACATACACTCATATCTCAACTTATTGTATGCCCCATATTATTATACGCTTTTTTAATTTACATTATTCAAATTCATACGCACTGATGTGCGATAGTATAGTTCAATAAACTGTCGTAAAAAAGTTAATTTAATTAACAAACAATCATTGAGTTTGATCAATAACACACAAATTATCATCTCAAAACACAAAGTTTTTAAGTGAATACCATAAATAATCAAAATAACAATAATAAATTAATTATATTTAAAAATTTTAGTATACAATTTCAATAAAAACATTTTTCTAAAGCATATTTACGTGTTTTTATAAAGTCTTTTTATAGAGACTTTTAAGTCCCTGCATAAACCTACATATAATATTATAAGTATCACAAATTTGAAAAAAGCAATCGTATCTACTTTATGCATTCAATACATTAATTTTGTTTAATTATTAAAAAAAAAAAAATAACTTTCTTGATCATCAACTAGATAAAAAAATTAACAAATAAGAGCTCTTGTTGTTCTTCTATCGAGCAATATTTTTTACAAAAAATATAAGCCGTAAAATAATGAAATTTGCGTAATTTAAAAAAAAATTTTACTTTTGTCTGTTTTTTGATTTTTCTTAATTATTATAAAGACAACTTTAGATATCAAAAAACTACTTTCTATGACAGTGGTTATATGTTAAAAGGAATAAGTCGATCTTTTATCATTTCGCGAATGGAACAATATTTCTGGTAGAAAATATAAGTTTCTAATATTAAAAACAATGAAATTAATAATGCTACGAGGAACCGTAAATATTTGCTGTTAATAATAATAATTTTCTTTCGGGTTTTTCCCAATTATTTCGAAAACCCCTTGGAAAATCAAAAATGACCTCTTAAATACACCAACTAGACAAAATTTCCTTTCAGAAAAGGTACTTATTGCTCTATCCATCGGAGCAAAATTTCTTTTCAATAAGTTGCTTAAGAATAGAAAAAAAAAACACACATCATAGTAAAACCAATAGACCCGTGACCCCTGTCTACCTTACGAATCTAAAACAAGTTTTTCTTCCATAATACAAAAAAAGTTTTACGAGAATTTATGGACCTGTGCAAGATTAAAATGAATCCTAGAATAGAGAATAAAGATTTAGAAAAATTATAAATACAATAATCCCAACATTAATTAAAAGGTGTGTCAAAAGGCAAAA